GTCCATTGAAGCTTAATTTTTTCCCAGGGTCCGCGGAACAACAATTTTGGATTTCCTTATAACTCAGTGGATCATTGATAGAAGAGCCAAATCGTCAATATGGATGGTTCATTCTAAAGTTGAGAAGCTTCGTCAATATAAAATTTGTGACATAATATCCTTTCATCCACTATTCTCTATCTAATATCATACTTCGTATTAATATTATTATCACAATATACATTTGTGTTCAATCAAATTTATCATAATGTTAATATTTTCTTGTACTACAAGTAGCCTACCTAAACGGGAGCTATGCAAGCTGAGCTTCATCTGCGGAGTATTGCACAAATGATGGTGAGTTTTATCTTCTTATGATACAATAATATGCACAAATGATGGTGAGTTTTGTCTTCTTATAATACAATAATACGCCTGCAACTTTAATTATTTATGACATCTTCATTATTAGTCAGATAGCTGAACAAAGAGATTTGGTCATTTACAGATTAATATTTCCCCAATCCAATACTTGCAAATTTTCGGAGATCCATCGCCCAATCCAATTGTGATCGTAGAACATGTCATAAGTTCCCATGTGCAATCAACTAGCTAGTTGAGATTCATACCCAGTTCATTTAGAGCAAAAAGATGCAAATGTATTTCTTCGTGAGATGTTCAACTCCAAAGCCATAAAGAAGTCATCTGATGAAAACTCTCGGCACAATGAGCGAGATATATATGAATTTTTTTGTCTTTGTCCATGAATTTCAGGCATGCTAACAATATCATCCTACTCATTACATAAAATTTGTTGTCTTTATCCTTTTGATATAGTTTAGCCATAAGATTCATTTTTTGTCTGAAAAAGTTTATTGGGATGATTAATTTTTAAACTCATCTCAAATCCTTGTGATTTTAAAACCATATGTACACATAATTTAATTTTAACTATATGTAACAAACACATGATATATGGTTTCAAACCTATAATATAAGAATTTGTTGTTGTTGTTTTTATCGTTGTTGTTAGTATTAACATCACTTCAAGTGCATATTACCTATTTGATTGTGCAAAATATGCTATGAGCAGAGGCATCATTTAGACGTGGGTCATATACGGAACCAATGCCTTTTGTTAGATCCTTTGGCAAAGTATCTTATGTCAGAGGTTAATGAAGAGAAAACTTCTGGGGATTTTGTTTGAGAAATGAGAGTACGTAAGGCTTGCTCTAAAAGTAACTTCTTTTGTAAAAAAGAAGACAAAGAAGGCTACAAAACTTAGAAATTTAAAAAACATTATGATTAGCTTTGTTGATCATTTCATTGGGAACATCATATTAAAGATCGCGTTAACATGTTTGTTTTGTTCACTGTTTTGTGTTTATTGCCCCCTTCAATCAAATCTCAAATATTATATAAGAAGTTTGTGTTGCTATTTTTTCGCAAAAAACATTATGAAACCTTATCTTAGACATATGCATACATACATTTATTTATTTGACCCACAGCTTGGTTACTTGCACAATTCAAATTCTTTAGTTAATTCAGGGTTGTGGGTTTTGAAGAAACTCAAGGACAACCAATGCATTCACTAGCTTACCTTTATTGACGATCCTGATATTCAAAATACTTAGTTGTACAACCTTTACAAGGTAATGTTGGTCTCCAAAGATTGTTTAAGGGGATAGGGTCTCTAGGCTCAAATTCTCTTTTAGTGCACTCTCCAGTTTTATTATGAAATGGCCTGTTTTATAAATTATGACATTTAATTTATGTAACAAAAATAAAACTGTATAGATAGACACACTTTCATGATGCAATTGTTGAAATGCATTAATTATCAATCCTATTAGTGGAATAATACTAAAAACTAATAACTCATGTCTACTAGCAATAGAAGACCTTGGAGAATTTCATGAATATTAAAGCACAAATGCTTTGAATTTATGAGAAAAAAAACAAACAAACACCATTTAGACTTTTATTCCTCGAGAATTGAGAAGCTCCACAGGTTGTAACCTATGTTAATACCATTCAACTAGAATAAAGACATGGCAAGCATCTTCGGCGGACAACTTAAAGAAAGGGAAAATATTTATGGAGATGCTCAATTGTTGCTTGGACCAGTTACACACCCCTTCATGTGAGCACCATATTTTCATGTGATGTAACGTAAAATTTGACACGCGGAGTTTCTTGAATTCAACTCTTGTGAAATTCATCATGTGTCATTTCCAGAACTCTTCAATTGATTGCTTATAAGATGGATGCTTACAATGAAGGGCAATTTACTTGCTCCTACATATTCCACACTGGGTGAACTTTGCATGGGATCGAGTTTCCAAAATTTTGGTTCAATTTTTAGTTTCACATAGGTGTAGTTTGTTTTCTTCGGTGATTGTATCCTCTTAGCAGTTACCCAATTGAATAAGCCTACTTTAATGTATTTATTTGTTTGAGAAATAACAATGATTTTGTGAAATTTCACTCATGGCTAGACAGGTAGTTCAAGATTGTGCACGTCATGTGTGTTACTTTAAAAAGTATGTGTGTGTGTGTGTATGCATGTATAAAATAAATAGCAATGTTAATAATATTATTAATATTACTTAAATAACTATTTTCCTACAAATTTTGAGCAGCACGTGGAATAATAAAGCAAACACTATATGATTGAGATTTGCATAGAGGGAGAAATAATTTAACCACATGCTACATGATGGAGTATATGGGCCCGGGACTACGGCCCATATACTCCCAGACTTATGGACAACCCAAACCAGCACCAGGGGATAAACCTACTAAGCTCAGTCTAGTGGTGCGATCGCCTCAGAATGTTCACCTCGGAGGAATACCCCTCAGATGCTCTCACCGAGATGCCATAATGAGGGACCACGCTGACAGATGCTCTCACAGGGGCCATGTTGGAATATATTGCTTGTAAACGGCCCATTAGTGGCCCATTATTGTATTTAGGCCCCCAGACCCAAGACCTGGGAGACTAGCCCAACTTTCCCTTAAAAATGTCCCCTTGGGGATAGTTGTAAGGGGTTGAGAAATCATTTATTGCAAGTTCTCTCTCTATATTTCAGCTCTCCCTTCTCTCTAAGCACTTCGGTGTAACGAGGAAGCTATCACTACATATTACATACCTTAAATGAAACCGACAAACTTTTTTGGAATGATTAACTAAATAAGTTTGGCAAAAAATTTCGGAATGAAGAAAACACGAGTTTGGCATTACGGTGTTGAATCTGGGTGTAATGTATTACTCTATATGATTTTGAGATAGTAAACAAGACACAGTATATTGTACGGAGTAGTTGGTATGTTATAGGGAGTTAGGGACAACTACAATTCCTTTCCCAGTCCGGACTCTCGAATCACCATATTTTCTAACCGAGCCCGTGATCAACCAGTTGCAATTCATTTTTACTTTTTCATAGCATATCAATAATAATTATACAATTCCATTTTTTCTTAATAATCACACCACTCTCTCATGCCCCAAAAATTAGGGGTGAGAAAAACTGACCCAAAACCCGATAACCGAACCGACCCAACCTGGTATATGACATTGGTCCGGGTTTTATTTTAAAAATGGCTGGTCCGGGTTAAAATACCCGACCCGAACCCGAAAACTTGGGTCCTAATTCGGGTTCTAAAATTTTAAACCCGACCCAGACCGAAAAAATCTGATTTAATTAAGAAACTTAAAAATATATAATTTATATAAAATACACATGACCTATTAATACATCATACCGATTTTTTTTATATATAATACGTGTGGACTATTTCATACTACATCCTTCCCAAATTGATTTGTAAAATTGACTTTTTTAGTCAAACAATTTCATTTTATTCACTTAATTTGGATGTCAATTTTTAATTATATATAATTTGGAGTTTGCAACTTTGAAGATATTTTAATGTAGTTTTTGAATATGTAAATTTTAATTATAAAAAATTGAATTAATTATCAATATGGAGGATTTAACTTTATCATTGGTTGACCAAAAAATCTCGAATTTGTAAATCAATTTGGGACGGACCAATTGTTTTTGTACAACATTTTCTATCGTGTGATTTTTAAATTCAAAATATACTGTTTTGGTTTTATTATACTACATATATTTTTTGATTAAAAGTTTAGATATTTTCAATTTTCGTTGTGATTGTATTTCAATTGTTTTTAGATATCTCAATTTGATTTTTTTCCCGGGTTCAACCCAACCCAACCCGAACCCAACCCGAACCCAAGGCTCTTAAAACCCGGACCAACCCGAAAGTATTGGTCCTCCGGTCGGGCCCAAAATTGTAGAACCCGATGCTTTTCAGGGTTTTTATTGTCCTAGCCAAAACCCGACCCGATCCCACCCCTACCAAAAATACGACTACCAAGTGAGAAAAGCTATTGTGTTCATTGTTCAACGTACGAAATTAAAAGCTACTACCTCCGTCCCATGAAAGGTTCCCATAGCAAAGCGGCACCAAAAATTTATAAATGTAATTAGTATTGATATCTATGATGTTATAAATGTATTATTTTTAATATTTAATGATTAATTTGTCACTTAAAATTTTTAATTGTTTCCCAAAATGGAAATGAGAACCTTTATATGAGACGTTCAAAAAAGAAAAGTGAGAATCTTCAAATGGGACGGAGGGAGTCCATGTTCGATAAAACAATTGACCGACAAAGTTTATAAGTTGAAAATAATGTTATTAAAAGGCTCCAATCGTCCAATTGATTCAGTAATCGTTAATTTTATAATATAATAACTGCATATTTATAACTAAAATAAATACGGAGTATTATTTATCAAAATGCACTATGTAAATTATAGTAATTTATAATGATACTACGCAATTTATTTCAATAATATTTTTGAAAAATCTTCAACTTTCAATATAAAACTAAAACATACGTAGTACATAAAATTTGAATATATGAGTTGTATTTCGAAAATAATGTATAATCTGTTCTAAGTTCTAACTTCTTATCCACAACAGACATTTTTAGCCGCCACCGGATTCTAAGCTGCTTCTCTTCTATCATCCCCATTCCCCAGCTAGGACGGATGGTGACTCCGACCCACTAACCACCGTCGTGCTTCACCGCTTCTCCGCTCCTACATCACTGCCACTCCCTTTGTCGAAACGGTCTTCAACACGTGCTGAAATGGCCCTGTCATACCAGTCCTCCCCAGTCGCCCCACCTTCCCCTCAATTTCGTTACTCCCTACTTTCCTCTAGAATCCCTCATCAGCTTCACCACCGGAGACTCTCCATTTTCTACCACCGGGCTCGACTCACCGTCAGGGCAATGGCGAGGCCGAAAGAGCTCATATTCGGAAAACCTTCAGTGACCGTGGAGGAAGGCAAGTACGGCTACCACGTCGAAACCCTCATCGACAAGCTTTCGAGCCTTCCGCCGCGCGGAAGCATTGCGCGGTGCCTCGATACCTTCCGGAACAAGCTCTCTCCCACCGACTTCTCCAACGTCTTCAAGGAGTTCGCCTCCCGCGGCGACTGGCAGCGATCTCTCCGCCTCTTCAAGTACATGCAGCGCCAGATGTGGTGCAAGCCCAACGAGCACGTGTATTCCATCATGATTGGCATTCTTGGCCGCGAAGGCCTTCTCGATAAGGCATTGGAGATATTCGACCAAATGCCAACTCACAATGTGGCCCGGAATGTCTTTTCCTACACCGCAATTATCAATGCCTTTGGCAGGAACGGTCAGTATGAGACCTCCCTTCGATTACTGGAGAAGATGAAAATGGAAAAAGTTGTTCCCAATATTCTGACATATAATACGGTCATTAACTCGTGTGCTCGTGGAGGGTATGAATGGGAGGGATTATTGAGTCTGTTTGCTGAAATGAGACACGAGGGGGTTCTACCAGACCTGGTCACATACAATACTCTTTTAAGTGCGTGTGCAATTAGAGGATTATATGATGAGGCCGCAATGGTGTTCAGGACAATGACTGAGGGTGGGATTTTACCAGATATTACCACTTATAGATATTTAGCTGACACATTTGGAAAACTTGGGAAGTTAGGGAAATTCTCAGAATTGCTTAGGGAAATGGAGTCTGGAGGGAACTTACCAGAGGTAACAGCCTATAATGTCTTGTTGGAGGCATATTCCCAATCAGACTCACTGAATGAGGCTATGGATGTTTTCAGGCAAATGCAGGCAGCAGGGTGTGCTCCTAATGCAGACACTTATACCCTTTTGTTGAATTTATATGGGAAGAATGGGAGGTACGATCAGGCTAGGGATCTCTTTCTTGAGATGAAAATTAGTAACACTGAACCAGATGCAGATACGTATAATATTCTCATCCAGGTGTTTGGGGAAGGTGGATACTTTAAAGAGGTAGTTACACTGTTCCATGATATGATTGAAGAGAAAGTGGAACCAAACATGGAGACTTATGAGGGGTTAGCACATGCATGTGGAAAGGGAGGACTTCATGAAGATGCAAACAAGATCCTTCTTAATATGTACAAAAAAGACTTGGTTCCAAGCTCTAAAGTGTATTCTGGTGTTATTGAAGCATATGGGCAGGCTGCTTTGTATGAGGAGGTGATTGTTGCTTTCAATACAATGAATGAGGTTGGAAGCATGCCTGACATTGAAACTTTTACTTCTATGATCCATGCATTTGCAAAGGGGGGACTTTACAAAGAGGTTGAAGCAGTATTAGTTACAATGGATGAAGTCAGAGTTCAGAGGAACAGTAATTCATTTAATGGAATGATTGAAGGTTATCGGCAGGGAGGCCGGTTCGAAGAAGCTATAAAGACTTACACTGATATGGAAAAGGAAAGATGCAATCCAGATGAAGATACCTTTGAGGTAGTTTTGAGCGTCTACTATTTTGCTGGTCTGATTGATGAATGTGAGCAACATTTTCGGGAAATAAAATCAGTTGGCATACAACCAAGTGTTATCTGCTATTGTATGATGCTTGCAGCTTATGCAAAAAGTGAAAGGTCAGATTTTAATAGGCTATTTCCTCTTTTTTTGTGCTAGTATTTAAATTTTGTAGTGAGATATGGGCTGTGAAGCTTATAATATCTCTAGAAGTTTGTACCCGTGCCCTTAATTTGACTGAATATTTTACACTTTGAGAGCTGTCCAAGGAAAAGCAAAACATTTGTTTAATTCCTGACTTGAAATGGAAACAGATGGGATGAAGCCTTTGTATTATTGGATGACATGCTAAAACATAAGGTTTCAAACATGCATCAAGTAATTGGACAAATGATCAAGGGAGATTTTGATGATGATACTAATTGGCAAATGGTTGAATATGTGTTTGACAAACTCAAGTATGAAGGGTGTGGTCTGGGCTTGAGATTTTACAATGCACTTCTAGAAGCACTTTGGTGGTTTTCCCAGATGGAAAGAGCAGCAAGAGTTCTTAAGGAGGCAACGAAAAGGGGATTGTTTCCAGAATTGTATCGGAAAAACAAGCTTGTGTGGTCTGTAGATGTACATAGGTAATTACTAGTAATATTTGCTCCTGGAATTTATTTATCCTTTTATAAAAAAAACTATCTTATTGAATATTCTACACTGAAATGTTTTTATCATATAGAATGTGGCCTGGAGGTGCATGTACTGCAATATCTGTCTGGCTTAACAATATCCAGGCGCTGTTGCTGAAAGGGGAGGACCTTCCTCATGCTGCATCTGTTGTGGTGGTGTAAGTACCTTTTTTGTTCCTTCTCATGAATACATGACAGAGAAATTCTGTTTGTATGTTTATGTTTTTTCTTTCCTTTCTTTGTGTTAATATATCTCCATTTTGTTATTTTTTTTACAGACGAGGCCAGATGGAGAGTAGCTCAAGTACTGAAGATTTTCCGATTGCAAAGGCTGCTAATTCTTTTCTGAAGGATCATGTCTCATCATTTTGTTTCCCTAGTTGGAACAAGGGCCGAATAGTGTGCCCTAAATCTCAACTCAACCAAATCTTTTCCAGTTCAGAATCATCATCTTCAAAAGGCCACATCCAAATTTCTCTTAGGAATACTCCCCTTCCTCTTCTGGCTACACAACCATCTAGTACAAGGAGATCAAAGCACAACATAGCTTCAGGTTCAGAACTTTTGGCAACCACAACTTGAACTGTTTTCTCAGAAAGCTGTTTGCAACCATGAGATGGGTGTTTTTGGCATGCGAAGAATGAGCTTTCAGTGATCAATTTGTCGGTAGTATGGAACCCCAGATCTTAACAGGTAGTACTATACTCACCATGAAATGAAGTTCCGCCTATCCGGAGAGCCATGGCCCATACACCGGTGGTACATTTGGCTATCGTGCTTCATCAATGAAAAAAAATCTTCTATAGTAGTATTGGAAAACTGCTGGACAAAAATATTACCAACCATTTAATGTACGAATAACGGTTTTCTCACCCAAAAAATCTCTGCAGAAAGATATTACTTCGTGCATATCTCCCAAAAAAACTCTGCTGAAGCTTAGCCATAGTCTCGCCAATTTCATCCTGAGAAATTATTGGCCAACTCCGATAGATACTCGTTTCAGTTTGTGCATATCTTCAATGTGATCCCTCCAAACTGTACGAATAACAGTTTTTCTCACCCAAAAAATCTCTGCAGAAAGATACTTCTTCGTGCATATCTCCCAAAAAAACTGTGTTGAAGCTTAGCCATAGTCTCGCCAATTTCCTCCTGAGAAATTATCGGCCAACTCCGATAGATACTAGTTTGTGTATATCTCCGATGTAATCCCTATTAATTACTGCTGCTCGGAGGATGCGAGAAGAAGCTCTCTCCAGTCAACATTTATTCTAATTGGAAGAAGCACACTATGACGGTAAGAAATAAATAAAACTTTCCACTTTTCTCTAAAATTTTAAAAAAATATTCTACTCTACTTCTCATATCGTCAAACTAGCTCGAGAAGAAGATGTCTCGCTTATCCATTTGAGTCCCACTTTAAAAAGATTTCCTGGTTTTTTCATACATCAACAAAATAATCAATTATTGATTTTTAAGCATCCATATTCTTTCATATATAAGCTATTCGATAGTCTGAGTTCGGGGAATATAGCTTAACTAGCCGTTGGAAAATTTTCAGTCTATTTTGAGCCAACTGCACTGTCAAATTCATTTCAAATTGGCTGAACTTGTTTGTTCAGTTTATGTCTTTTGTAAATGTGGAGTTGTGTTTGTGTTGTAGCTTACTTCTCATTAAAGAGATAGTGTCACACTACTTATGTTCATTTATTCAGATTAGATTATATTTCAAATGTGCAGATGCAAGTAGCACCCCTAAGAATGCATACATTATGATCTTATGTACCTTTCATATGTCCTTTGATTCCTACAACACCCACTTGTGGTTTAATATTACAAAATGTTGTTCTAGACTTCTACTAGTTATACACCATAGCTTCCTTGCTCACTCAAATATTGTTTGTTTTTCATTTTATAGGGAATGGAAGCGTTTGATGACTTCACTACTCCCCCAACCATCAACACCAATCCTGAGATCATCTCGTAAACTCTCACCCCCATGTTAACCTACCCGTGTAAGTGTACTATGCATGGATTGCATGCTCATTCTTTTAATAAGAGTGGCTAGATGCCTATTTTTTAAAAAAGTTACTAACTAACATCATAATGTTACCATCTATTATAAGTTACTTACACGGATTTTTTATCGAAATGGGCTGAAAAAGGTTGAGTATTTTGAAACTGCCCTTCCATCTTTTACATTAATAGACAACGGTGAAATTACATAAGGACCCTTAATAAAATGACAAAATGCCCTAAAAGAGTTTTAGTATTTGTCAAAATGCCCTCCTAACGCTCGCTATTGTTAGGCCACCCGTCTCCGTTAAATTTTGTGGTACACTTCCCATTATACCCCCCATCAGTTCATAACGACTTTCTCTTTCCAGCTGTCACATTATAACGACCTCATCCCAACGGCTCCATCTTCACAACGGTAACATTTATTTCAGATTCTCATACTTTCCTCTTCACATTTATTTCAGATTCTCATTCCTTTCTACTTCATTTGTTCCACATGTATTTCAAATTCTCCATGGTCTTGAGCCTCTAGCCTCTGCATTGTCGACTCAGATCAACTCAGTACCAAAAGCTTCACTAAGTAAAGTGTATATGCATTCTCTTCATTCGTCATCCTGCAAGACAAGATTATTCAAATAGTGTGTCCTTTTTCTACAAACTGAGCATAAACTGTTCAACCATGTTTTGTTCGACCCAATGGATTATGAAGAAATAAAATGTATGTTATCATGGGTCAGTAGACCATATGTTGGTCTACCACAAAAAAAAAATAGACTAGTCAATCATATTTTGGTTGATCTTAAACAAATGTAGATGAAAAGTAGTAACAAATAAATTAGCTCAACGGTCACATATACCTCAACCACCTGTCAATTTATCTTTGAAGCCTAACCCTCATCACTACAATCAATTTTTTTTATAGTATATATTAAATGCAAAATTTTTATATGCTGAATGTTTGCAGTTAATAAAGATGAGTCGACCATATGTTGGTCGACCATGAGTTTGTCGACTAAGTTTTGATCGATCATAATTTAGTTGACTATATTTTGGTCAATCTTAAACAATGAAAAGTAGTAACGCTAAGTGGATTTATTTTTTATTGATTAATTCAAAAGTCACCTCAATCACTGGAGTTAAACCCAACCGTCACCTATACTCAACCACCCGTCAATTTATCTTTGAAGCTTAACCGTCATCTCTACTATCAAATTTTTGATAGTGTATATTAAATAAAAATTATTTATATGCTAACTGTTTTCAGTTAATAAAGAATTAAAGATGAGTCGACCACATGTGGGTCGACCATGAGTTTGTCGACTAAGTTTTGGTTGATCATATGTTGGACGACCATAAACTTATATTTTGGTCGATCTTAAACAATGAAAAGTAGTAAGAGTAAGTGAATTTAATTTTTATTGTTTAATTACTGTTTAATTCAAATGTCACCTCAACCACTGGAGTTAAAGTCTAACCGTCACCTATACTAAACCACCCGTCAATTTATCTTTGAATCCCAACCGTCACCTCTACTATAAATTTTTTGATAATATATATCAATTGCAAATTATTTATATGCTAAATGCTTTTAATTAATAAAGATGAGTCGACCATATGTTTGTCGACTGGTTTCTTTTTCTATTTTGGACTATACTACTATTCATGGATTTAGCTACCATGACACTATCCCCAATGGCCCCATGCTGAATAGAATCCAGATTATCGGGGTAGTTTTTGGTTGAAATACTTCCCTACCAATCTTAAGGTCTCACGTAATGACATTAAGGTGATATACCAATCTTGACTCAAGGGTAGTGAACCGGATGAAGATGTAATTAGACTCTCATTAATATATGTGCTATCACATTCCTTAATTGGTGCTGAAATGAAAATTGCACTACATAGCTCGTATGTTAACCTGGTTGTTGACCTAGAAGCATTTAATAAGTATCATTGGGTTAGGGTCATTTAGGGTGATATGATTTCATACTTGAAGACGGTTGCTGAAAGTATGAAGTCCAATGAAGCACATTACAACATTTATAAGTTATAACATGCCTCTGCAAGTATGGACTTTTGAAACTTTTCCCGCTTTGAGAGAGGTCAGTATTGCTCGGCTTGTTGACCCAAAAGCCTTTCCTTGGGTTTTAAGATGGACTTCGGGGAAAACAAGCCCAAAGATATTGACCTGCACCATTTTCAGCAACCTAAGTGTACGTAACATCTACATAATTTCATTCTCTTTCCCTGTATCAATCAAATATAATTATTGGAAAATCTACTATGTTCTGTGATTTATTGGCCTTCTTTGAGTTAGATTCTCCTTGTGTGGTAATAGTCATTTGCATATCATGATTAAGCTCTCACTTTTAATGTCATATTTTGCATAAATCATTTTTAGTCATATAATGTGTCTCAGATTGGTGTGTTTTGTTTGCATGGATTTAACCTATTTTTTACCAGCTGCCACCATAGTGTATAACCTACATTTTAATTGTCATGAAATCCCATTTCATATTATTTCCTAGCTGATAAACACAGTGCCTTGCAATATGCCATCGTACGTTGATAATCACATGGATTTAACCTATTTGAGTACAACTTAACAATGCCTTGCAATATGCTATCATACGTTGGTTAACCTTCCATAACATTTCCTTTTTATTTGAAACAAAAAAAGCCAGTTTGTGTTCCAGCCGGTTATGCCCTCCACCACTGAAATGAAACAACTCAATGTCCAAAAAGCCCGTCTTCTTAATGATTCACACCCTCTGATGTCTATAACATCTACCTTAAAGCCTGTCCCCCTTCTACTTCTTTCAAGATGTGCTCAACTAAAAGGTCAAAGCTAAGCATCACACCCACATACTGAACTCCAATGTTGGAGGGTTGTAACATTGCTCTAGAATCTTCTGATGTGCCAGCTTATGTGCCACGACCGGAGGCTGTATAATTGACGATTTCAGAGCTTCATTGACTCCCAAGATGGCACAAGCTTTCATTTGTGGCCAAGATTGGCTTCGCCACACTCCTGTCAGTTCAATGGAAGAGGCAGATGAATTTTGTCAGAAACTTGACAAAGGTAATTTTTTTTGCTCATTTGTTAGAATTTCATATACTATTACGCTATGTGACATGACTTTATTTTAGTGGCCGTTTGGAGCCATAAAATTGGGCTGATAAGCCTTAAAGTGAAAAAAAAGAGCCAAACACTAGCAAATTAGGCTGTTTGGGATGATATTCCTTATCAGCCACAAAAGTAGCAATAGGGTTATTTTATGAGCTGATTTCTATTTTTTGAGTTAAAGGACACTTATATCCTCTTCAAAGCAAGCTATTAACATACATATATTTAAAATAGAAAGAAAGTAATACCCTTTTTTAGTAATTATACATTCAATCAGCCAATTCAACCAAAATATTACCAAACACTTGCACTTCAGAAATTTCAGCCCTTCAAGCACTTTCATCATTTTCAGCCGTTGCAGTCATTACCAAACAGACCCTTAATTTTTTTACAGTTACATTTCAATTTGTTGTTTTAGAGTTGGTAATAAACTCCGGGTCTGATGTTAATGTTCTCGGCGTGTTATGAACGCCACAATTATCTTCGTGGTAAGAGCATTTATATCAATTTTATTTCATTATATCAAATTAATATGAATACAACATAATTGATTTATTTGAACTGTTTTGGCAGGTTTCCTTCAACCTTGCAGATGGTGCAATAATAATAAATGGAGATTGAAGTTGTTGACTTGCTATTTTGCATAATTGAGTTCGTATTGTGTAATGTGTATTTTCTAAATGTTGATTGGATTTATAGTTTCTATATTCCAACTGTCAAGGAAGTATTATGAGAGTTGCTGCTGTTGTATTTCTTGGCAGACTTGCTATTTTTGTTTTTCTTGGCAGACTTATTTTTTTTGGAAGACTTGCTGTTGTTATTAATCTTTTTGCTGGATTTGTTATTAATGTTATTACCTATGAGTGTTGTTATATTTGGCTTTGTAAGCTATGTAAAATGGCTGGATTGTTACTGTTTGGCTTTTACCTATGGTTGTCTATTACTGCATACTTATATAGACGTACCTTACTGCATATTGTTGTTATATTAAGCATTATATTTGGTTTTTACCTATTACTGCATACTTATATTTGGCAGACTTACATGTTTTTACCTATGATTATCATTAATTTGTGTTTGGTTTTTTGGGTTTACCGATTACCAAACCGTTTTTTTTCCCGGTTTTTACCGAACCAAACTGATTCAATTCGCTTCGGTAAACCGAAATTTCGGTTCGGTTCGGTAATACCGTTGTTGGATTTGTTATTAGTGTTATTACGGATACCGTTGTTGGATTTGTTATTAATGTTATTAGAGAAATTACCCAAAACAGGACTAAAATCACTTCTATATTCCAAAAATAGGATTGTCATGTTTTTATTCCCAAAATAGGACCAATTACTGTCATGTTTTGGCAGTACCAGGCTTTAAAGATGACATTATTTTCCAAACTTGACAGTAATTACTCCTATTTTGGGAATAAAAACATGACAGTCTTATTTTGGAATTTTCAAACTTATTTAGTCCTATTTCGGGAACTTTCTCATGTTATTACGGTAATATTACCTATGAGTGTTGTTATATTTGCTTTGTAAGCTATGTAAAATGGTTGGATTATTACTGTTTGGTTTTTACGGTTTTACCTATGGACCTATGGTTGTCTATTTATGCATACTTATATAGACGTACCTTACTGCATAATGTTGTTATATTAAGGCAATAAGCATTATATTTGGTTTTTACCTATTACTGCATACTTATATTTGGCAGACTTACATGTTTTTACCTATGATTATCATTAATTTGTGTTTGTTTATTTGGATTTACCGATTACCAAACCGATTTTTTTCGGTTTTTACCAAACCAAACCGCTTCAATTCGGTTCAGTATTTGGTACATGAAAATGCTTAACCGAAATTTTGGTTTACCGAAATTTCGGTTCGTAATACCGTTGCTGGATTTGTTATTAATGTTATTACTAGGGGTGGACCGGTTCCGGTTCGGGCCTGGGCCCGGCCGGGCCTCGGTTCAGAAAAAGGAGGCCCGAGCCCGAACCGGTGGTGGGCGGTTCCGGTTCCGGTTCCGGGCCAGAACCGGGCCGGGCCACCCGGAATGTTTTTTTTCTTCTTCTTCTCTTATTTAACCCCCTACCCCTCCCCCTCCACCCCAAACCACCTCAAATGGCCCAAAATACCTAATCCAACCCAAAACTTAAAAAAATTTCAAAAAAAAAAAAAAAATAAATTCCGGCCCGAATCGGGCCCGGCCCGGCCGGGCCGGTTCACTAAACTGGAGGCCCGGGCCTGGACCGGTATACCACCGGGCCGGGAGGCCCGAACCGGTTCACCGGGCCGGTCCGGGCCCGCACAGTAGCGGGCCGGTCCGGTTCCGGGCCGGTTGGCCCGGCCCGAGTCCATCCCTAGTTATTACCTATGAGTGTTGTTATATTTGGCTTTGTAAGCTATGTAAAATGGTTAGATTATTACAGTTTGGTTTTTACCTATGGTTGTCTATTACTGCATACTTATATAGACATACCTTACTGCATATTGTTGTTATATTAAGCTTTATATTTGGTTTTTACCTATTATTGCATACTTATATTTGGCAGACTTGCATGTTTTTACCTATGATTATCATTAATTTGTGTTTGGTTTTTTGGATTTACCGATTACCAAACGTCCAAACCGATTTGTTTTTGGTTTTTACCGAACCAAACCGATTCAATTCGGTTCGGTATTCGGTACATGAAAATGCTTAACCGAAATTTCGGTTCAATTCGGTAATACCGTTGCTGGATTTGTTATTAATGTTATTACCTATGAGTGTTTTTTTTTTTGGCTTTGTAAGCTATGTAAAATGGTTGGATTATTATTGTTTGGTTTTTACCTATGGTTGTCTATTACTGCATACTTATATAGACGTACAGACCTTACTGCATATTGTTGCTATATTAAGCATTATATTTGGTTTTTACCTATGGGTTTTACCTATTACTGCATACTTATATTTGGCAGACTTATATGTTTTTACCAATGATTATCATTAATTTGTGTTTGGTTTTTTGGGTTTACCGATTACCAAACTGATTTTTTTTTTCCGTTTTTACCGAACCAAACCAATTCAATTCGGTTCAGTATTCGATTCATGAAAATGCTTAACCGAAATTTCGGTTTGGTTCGGTAATACCGAATGAACACTCTTAAGTCTTAATTGTCATTCCTTCACATTCCCTAGAATTGTGCGCCCATACCATTCAAAAATACTACCATGCATCTAAATCAATATCGATTTGTCAATGCGAACTTCAACAGTGTACATGTTGAATTTCTTGATCTAATGTTCGTCACTATTATTAGTACTCGAAATAACACAAAATGAAAACATAATTTACCGGGTGACCACTGAGAATGAAAACACGTTTCTTTTCGACAGAACCCCACCCTCTTTTTCAGTTGCCAGGAATGGATTGTGGAACTGGACGGAAATGAATTCTGGAAATGGCCGACGATGTTTACTAACGTAAAATTCCCTCATTTTTGGCTTTCAGTTACACAAGTGACAATGGAATTAATGCGGCCGATTTTTTAGTATAAAATTTGTTGGTTGACTTCATTCGGAAATGGTATGTTTTATGATTTCACCCTACGTGTCCAGCATGCTAGTCATACTTTTGGAAATTTGGTGATGCGGTCACTTTTTGGTCTTCAATCTTTTATCTAGTGATATCTATAAAAAAAGGCCCTCATTGATCAAGGAAAGACGATATAACAAACCCTTTTTGGACAAAGGTAGTACTCAAATTGATAATTGATTTTCAATAAATAAAGTTTATTAGCATAATTAGCATAGACTCCTTCTGTCCCACTATTATGGTCCCGTTGCGGTTTACAATGCTTGATCGACGATAAAACAAATGGATCCCTGCCCGCACTCAAATTATTTTTAGAAAAAAGTTACATATTCAGAAATCACATTAAAAGTTTTACAAAGTTGCAAAAAACAGAATCAAATTTGATAAAAATTTGATAAATAAAGTAAGAGATTAAGAGTAATTTGTGTTGATCGAGTGAATAGGAACCGGGACAATAATAGTGGGACGAGGGAGTATTTAATAGGAAAGTTTATGGGTCTATTTGGAACCAACTGGATCGGCTGGAAAGCCTGAAAAGGCTGAAACTAATGAAGTGAAAGTGTTTGGTAATATGTTGGCTGAAATTGTTGATTGAATGTAAAATTACCATTAAGGATATTTGCTTATTTGTGTTAAATATATGGGTTGCACTTTAGTAGTAAACTATTTTTGCTTGATTAGGCAATTACGGAGTATATACGAAGTATAAGACTACTTTATTAATTGTTTACTTTTTAAAAATTACCATTAAAGGTAATTTTATACTACGTAAAATATATTTTCTATGAAGTATATTAAGAAGCTCACATGCATTTAAATTACAATCAAATAAAACATAAAACATAAAATAAGTATTCATTGGAGTTCATTAAAATATAAAATGAAACATAAAATACACAAAAAGTACTAACGTGATTACACGACAAATTATAATGTCCGAAAATATGTTAAGCAAAGAAAATATATAATAGAACACATGCAATCGCCATACACCATCAATGACGTTGCCTCATATTGCGCGTTAAATTTTCTGTAATTTCATCTCGCAATGCAATCATACACTGAGAACTTACACCGCAAACCTCATTTGAAGACCTTTCGGTGAGAAGCAGGGTATTTGCATCCTAAGGTCATGGATTCAGCACTAAATTCAACACTTGATGATGAAAAGCTTGCAGATCCTGAGGTCTTTTTAATGGGATAAGGGTAATGATCATACCTTTTGTTTTCATAAATAAAAAAGGGGTAATATGAGAAGTAATGACCTTAGAAGGCTACTGATGAGAAGCAAGAATTAGTATGAATATGGTGGGTAAAGTTTCATATTACTTGTAAAAATGTACATAGCTCATTTAAGTGAGAAAATAATAAATATACAATTCCTATATATTATAAATAATTAACCAGTCCATAATAACAAATATAATAGGGTAATAATGTTGTAGTGTTCATGAAAATAACCAAATGTTTATGCCCAGTACTCTAAAACATTCAAATTACCCACAAATAACTTGAAAAACACTGTTGCACACATGTGTAATCTTTCCTTGTGATATAAATACTACGTAGTATTTTTTAAACTAATTACAAGGTATAGTGCAGGTACCAGACTAAGCAAATATGAGAAAATATCTAACCACAAAGAAATGTATCTAACCTAGTCTACATAACTTCAGAAATAGATCAGACTTATCAAACACATTTTTGTTGAAATATATTGAATAGTCATCTTCCAACTATTCATGATCAGGAACAATTATCATCATTGTTAATATAAATAAGAAATCATAATTATGATTTCTAGATGGTAATTGTATGGCTCACAATTAGCCCCTGATCTAGACATGATTACATTTTCTCCTATAAATAGGAGCATTCTCCTTCATTGTAAACACACCATTATCACACTTCTAATAACATCTTTCTCACTAAGTATTCAGACTATACTTTCTCTCCCTGATCTTCTGCTTATTTCCTTCCATTTTATAACACGTTATCAGCACGAATTTGCTCCAAATCCTTGAAATCATCATCTTCCCAGCAGGTATATATTTTCAGAAATTTATCAATTCATCTGAAAAGAAAATCAGATGTTGAGAAGTATGAACATGTTTGAATATATTCAAAACTATAAGAAGTATGCTCTATGGTTGCCCAATTATTGGGATCCTCCATATCAGAAAATTATAGCTATATTTTCTCTTATGAAAATATCTTTAAAATATGAAATATGAAGAAGGAAAAGGATAAACTAGCATACCTTTAATCACTATTATCTTTAAATATATTGATCTTACATCTGAATTTTTACTTCCGGATGAATTTACATCACTGATATACTCATTTAT